GGTGGCTATAAGGTCATACTATTATGTTTGGAATTTTGAAAGGCATGAGTAACTGCGGGCACAATAATTTGCTGAACATGTCATTGTGGCTGTATATACTGTATTTCACTAACTGTGTCAAAGCTGTCCAAGTCCAACATGGTATCAGGGCAGCTCCCCCACCCCCACCCCCACCCTCCTGTAATGAATATCATCCTGACAATAAACAATATAATATGATATTGAGAAAATTATGCATGCCTTGAATTAAATTGTATCTACAGGTAGAGTTGAGGTAAACAAATAATCTCACTCATCCAGGTATCCCATTGATGCAGTAACTGACATTTTTAATTGCCCCCCTCCTCCTTAATCACCTTGCCTACCTTTAATCAAGGAACATGGAAAATCTTACTAATCCAGGTATCCATTCTGTCACCACTACCCCCAGCCATAAAAACAAATTTCAAAACTTTTCTTTTACTAGTTTCAAAATTGTTATTTACTTAACCAGTTATTGAAAAAACACATTCACATCTAATGAAATAATAAAACGTTTACTTTTAGAAAAAGGATAAAATGGAAATAATGAAAAATAACGTTATGGCAAATTTGCATCTGACTTAAGGTTGACTAAGTGTTTGTTTAAGCGCATAAGTGAGTTTCCTTAATCTTATAATTAATGACCAGTCTTTTTTATGTTATCCTTTTTCTTATATTCAGTAAACCATTCAAGAAATTTATAAATGCCTCAAGGGGGGGGGGGGGGGGTTCTTGAGAATTGACCTAGAATTAATCGTCTGACACATCAGTCGCTGTAAACCGCAAAACCATATTTTACTTTAATTTAACTGAGTGGCTTTGTTTGGTTAAAAATAAGATTCATTTCTAAATTGAATTATTTTGTAAATATTGTCTCTATGTTGTTTTATTCAGAGTTGTTTATTACGTTTTGTAAAACCAACACCCAAATTGAAACAAGGGCATGTTTATCCCAGAACGTGTGGAATTATAGCGAGAATTCCCTTGGAGATAGATCGAGCTACAGTTAGTACGATAGAGTCTGGGAATGGTCCCTAAGTAACAAGTAACGGATGGTTATTTTGCGGAGGTATAATTATGTACGGACAGTGTATCTGTCGCTACTAGGTTATTTAAAATTTCTGAATCGACCGGGATATTTGAGACAATCAGGCGGAACACGTTCTCTGCCGGACACACCCATCATATTTGTTTGTGAATCCTATTTTACACCATGGACAAAATTACGAATACGTGTATATGTCTAAATTTACACCAAGGTGTTGAGAAGCGTGTATCCATCCCTTCTTTTGTAACAAGCTATACTAGAGACCCCTGTAATATCAGAGGGTGTATTAGTACTCTCTACAAGGGTCACAGATGAGCTCTGAACATAAAGCGTTCATTTTCCTTTGTGCCTAATTTTTGTCTGCATGTTTTGGAGGGTAAATCCCGTTTTTTTTTTGTTTTTTTTAAATTTATTTCAGCACAATCCCGGTGTTTTTGTGGCGCATTAGCACCACACATTTAATGATTACATTTTGATTACAGTTATATTTTCATTACATATTTAAACTTGCCGCATAATCCTCATCTTCCTCTGTGTGGAGTATCCCGGTGACTCCCTTTCTCGTGTAATTATTAAACCTAGCTGACAGGTTTTTCATTCCTCCGGTATTATAAAATAATATTTGCATTAATTTTTAATGATTTGTTGACAGTAATTGATATGAAATACTTAACATCTTGGCACCTATGAAACACCTGCTTGTTCTCGCGTGCACGACCATCTGGAAAGCTTTCTTGCCCAGTTTTGGTTGTGATTGAAATATTTTTTATCGAATTTTTAATAAACCAACAAAATATTTACAAGAGCGAGGTAGCGGTTTGTTTGTGAAAAAAAGGAATGGACGACGCACATGAAAACGTTTAGAGAGTTGACCACAGTTAAATTTTTGTTAACAGTAATATTTTTGTTTCCCATCCACTTATTATCACACGTCCTTGCTAACATTTAGCCCCGCATGAATTAAACTGCTTACCTCAACCAAAATGCGAATGTTACCTTTAATGAAGATGAATTAGTATTTATTTATTTATTTATTTATTTAATATTTATTTATTTATTATTTTGCAGAAAGTAGACTTTGACCGTAAAAGAATCTGTCAATACTCCACCCATAAAGCAAAAACATTTATTCGACCTTCTTCCACGCACCTACTGAGATACACGTATACATTTTTATGGTTGTTCTTATTTTGAAATGACTCATGCGCTACCTCCAGAAGGACGCCAAATGTCATATTTCTTTACTTGAATCTGTTTTTAAATTGGTTTGTTTTCTTCTTTTTACAAAATAGTTTGTAATCTAGAGTATCGTATTAGACATGCTGAAGGGTTCAGAAAGAGAACTAGTCTTGGAAACAGGTTGTAGATATCCTCTTGAAATATTTTGTAAGTTAATTATTATCCTAACTTCAGATTTGAGCGCTCTCTTTCGGCGTACTCACTGTTTCACAGCGAGAAAAATCACAGTGCACGATGATTGACGTTTGTTTATATAACCTGCCAATCAAGCTGTTATTACTTGACAGTAAATATCAAAACTAACTGAATATGATTGGCACCTTGTCAATCAAAGGATATAAAAGTTTGAGCTTTGCATGGTCTGAGAGTAGAATGTATTGAATGTGATTGACGTTTGTTTATATAACCCCTCAATCAAACTGTTATTACTTGACAGCTTCTATCAAAACTAACTGGATTTGATTGGCACCTTGTCAATCAAAGGATGTGAATATTGGAATTTTACATGTTCGGGGAGAAAATTATAGTAATTGTGTTTGAAGTTCATTAAACTGTCATTCATAGTCGTGTGAGCTTGACAGCTTCCATCAAAGTTGAATTATTCTGTTTGAATTTGATTCATACCTGTCTATAACAATACATGTCGTAACATTCTGGAGGTAGGAGTCATTTTTTTTTTATTCGCAGCGCGTTAAAAAACGTCGGGTTCTTTATTTCAACTGAGAGACTACATGGAATTTAACAACGTGAAAGAGTCCCAGGTTCTTTCCCAGGCGTTCTTTATTGTACTTAAAATCAGTTGTAATTTTTTAAAAATAATTTTATGATGTTAAATGACTATACCTGAATTAACGTTGTTGTCGATGTTTGTTGCTACATAATCCTTTCTTTGGTACTCCTACGATATCGGAACTTCGTGTACGAACTGAACACATAACTTTAATCATACCAATCTTCTTTTAGACCCGATGACTATTTTTGTATCATTTTTAAAAACGAATGATATAAAAAGTAAAACTTTGTCATTTTTTCCTGAGCTACGGAAAAAAATGCCGAGATAATGATGTTAGTGGCCAGGTAAAATTAAAAAGTACCGGTTTTGTTCGTTCCTTATAGTTGCTTTTAAATAAACTAAACAAATTAAAATTGAAAACAATTTCATGCAATGCGTTAACAATCTTTCGAGCTTTATTCTGCGATATATAGCTTGTACTATTTAAAAACTCCAGATTTGTGAAAATTAATAAACTAATAGTGGAATAAGTCGGGCTGGTTTAATCAAAGACTTAAAATTCTCGGTTTAATTTATATAAGTTGTTTGTTCAGTATTTTATACTGTATTTCATCAGATTGGTAAAAATTATCTTTTCATTAAATATAAGTTGGATGATACGCCTTATAAGAAAATATTTGATCGAATATTTATTTTTTAAATACTTTTTTATCTCATTAATTTTATTCTATTTTTTAAGTAAAAACAAAATTGTTTCAGTATGAACAACATCATGCATCCCCCCTCCCCCCCTCGGTTTCTGAAAAAAAAACACACACCAATTGATATTAGAATTTTGACTAGCTTAATCCTTGTTCTAAACCGTACCAAATGGCACCGTTCACCCTCTAAAATACCAAAATTTTTCGGTGCCCTTCAGCAGGCCCCGAACCCCACGTCAGAGGGGGTGGAGGAGGGGGGCGAGGGTCGGCTTAGCATCCGAGGCCTGTCATTTCTAAAAAAAAACAGACTCCNATTTTGCCCTTTTAACAAGGAAAGCCATCATTACTGTCAAGATATAAAACTCGGGTCGTCAGACAGTTAATGAAGCAGCATGCGGGTAGGGGAGTGCCGTTCTGTCCATTACATTAACTCTCACTGGGACTCTATGCTTTTTGGCCAGGTAGAAGCAAAACTTCGCCCGTGAGCAAACCCGTTTGTTTTCAAGCAAGAAGCAACTCTGCAATTTTGAACATTTAGATGATAGTGATAACAAGATATATCTTACAACCAAAACCTACTGCAGATTCTTAGCATTAAGGAGAAATATCATCCCTAAATAATGTTTTATTTTTCATTTTAAATATTTGTTTAGTCTCTCAAAACGGTGGTAAATGCAATTATTCTGGAATCTGTGCTTGCTATCGGACCACGTGACCTCCATACATGGCTATCTTCTGTAATAATCTCTTAAGAGATAATTACAAAAATGGACTAACTTTGAATGGGGGACGCATTAGTTATCCGCTGGTAACCAATGCCTTTGACCTGGGGCGAGGCGTGTAAAGTAGCAAAAGATTGCACAGAATTGCGTTACCGTGTCCAAGCCCCATTTCCCAACAGGAAAGATATAGAAATTCAAATCTTTGGCTAAAATGAACAGTTGTTATTTCTTCCACCACTGAATGCCATCAACTGTGATACCTACACACTGTGTTGAGGATGGGAGCAATTTCCCTACCCCATGTGTTAACACAAAGGCACGGAGGGTACAGGGGCACTCGTGTATATTGAACATTTCGTATCACAACTGTTGTACAAAATTTAGATAATTGTAATGTTTCTGTCATTATGATTTCAACAAGCCCTAATCCTCTGTCTGTGTCATATAACAAAGACTGAAGTTTAAAACGAGGCTTCCGCACGGAAGGTGCTCAACTGTACATTATAAAATATTATGTAATCTAGGTGAGTATTTTGGTGAGAGGTGTTCAGCAAGGACCGAGGTCAGTAGAAGATGGAGAAGAAAGCAGCCTTGTGTTACATTGTTACAATTTCTACTAGTTGGTCGAAAATCTGGCACTGAAATTGGCATCGAACTGTAAGTAAGTACTGTAAGTAAGTACTGTATAGATGATGGAGTAACATTGGTTATTTGGAATTGATGGTATTTGCCAAAAATGGTGCAATTTGCTCACAAAGCATCATGGGGACATTTTTGTCTTGACAGCAACAATATTTTCCTCTGATATCCAAATTCACTTGACGTTTAAATAGTTTATTTTCTGTTCTTATTTTCAGCTGGAATACATTTGCCAGAAAACGGGTGGTCAGAGATTTGCTCCAGCTGTGAACGCGTCTTCCGTCTTAAACAATGTAAGACATTTTGGCAGGTAACTACACTCATAGGTCCCGGATTGATTTTAAAATATCCAAAATCCACCTCAGCAAATCCCTACCCGCCAATGTGCACATGTCATGACTATGTAGTTCTTCTTTCTAAGATCTCATAAATTTTGTTTTTACTACCCTCCTGTCATATGTTTATTTCTAAAATTTCACTTTATACGTAATGGAGGGACACTGTCTTTTTAGTAACACCACTGACATGTGATTCTAAACACACAGAATCTTGTCGCGTTACTGTGTGTACACGGTGTAAAAGAATAGAAATTATATTGTTAGAAAGTGTATGATGACATAGAACGTGTCAGCTCAGTATATTTTTTGTATAATTTAAAACTTGAAAAGTTGTTTGATGAATACTACTATCGAAATCGGTTGATGTAAAATTAAAAACTGCTTTATTAAACCAACACATAGACATTGTTTTGTAAAGGTGTTTTTGTTTGATTTCAGTGACTCAACCGTGCACACGGAGATTGAATACGTTCTCCATCAATGACGTCAGACTCGTGTTCCACAGCGGCTGCATCCATGTCAAGATTACATGTCGCATGTCAGAGTTCGTCTGCTAGTAAATTTGCAAAGTTGACATTTTTAAATGTATGAAAATATGAAGTGTCATGTTTGCTTTGGACTGTGGTGTTCTCCATTGGAAAGCGTATCAAATGAAAAAGTATGATGTAAGGAGTATTTTTTTCGAGAAACGTCTAATTTAATTTAAAAAGGACTTGGGCGCGTTCACAGCCAGTTGATCCGCAGACTAACTAGTTGAAAGCCCCACTTGAAAGCAAGCTTAGATTTAATTGCTCGTCCCTGCTGGGACGGTGCACATGGGAGGCGGGGAATCCATTGTCAGGTGCAATGATCTTAAATAGTCAGCAGTTCAACTGGTTGTGAACGGCGTCTATTTCTATACTAAGCGTCAGCCCTGTATGTCGCTGGTTTGCTATTGTACATATGTACGTGTATCTATGTTACCATGTTGTTGTACAGTACTCTTCCCGCTCGTGGTGTTTTAATGGTAATTTGTTGATGTAGTTGGTTAAGGGGCGGGTACAGGTCTCGAAGATGAGAAAATACTTTTTTTTTAAGTTCTCGTTTAATACGAATATTGCCAATGCAAAAAGTGTCTTGCTTTATTGGTGTACTAAATCGGTTTTGGTTATTGTCAAATTATCACCAAGTAGTGTTCAGGAAGAGTACTTTGCTACACGTACATGTAGTATTGGTTTATTTCCGTGTAGGTGTGGAAACATAAACAACAAGCACATGTAGGACGACCGGTTTTCTTATTGATGGTAACATATTTGTGAGGGCAAATCTGCAATTCGGCATTTCAACCGTGAACAATTATATATTTAAAATTGAATCCTAATACTTATTTTGATGTCTACTTTTGGAAAGAAAGAAAACGTCCCAACCGTGTAAAATGCATTTATGGAAGTCTTTGGAGGTTATAATGTGTGTTTAGTTGAAGAAAAAACGAGATATATAGCTACAAAAAATCAATAAATTGCTGTAATTTAAATAATTACGTTTCAGAAATTGCAGCATTATCAAGCTGGCAGAATGTGTCATTAGTATTGCAGAACTGTCCACACGTATTGAAATGATCTTAAGTTTAAAGTGTGCAGTTGTGACGCATATGAAGTAAACTTCGTGTTTCAATGAGGGGAAGGGTCAAAAGTCACCCTGGTTTTAGAAACGAAACCAAGGAGTTGAAATTTTCCCGAAATTAAAATAAATTTGTTATTGTAGTAGTGGTAGGTTATAAAGGAAAATTGTTGAATCATAGAAAATGTTTTATTTCTGAATATTATCTTCATTAAAGGATCTACAGGTATGTAGGACTGACATTCATTAGAAACTTTTACATTCTGAATTTTTGACAAATTCTTGACAAAGTAAAATCAATCATTTTAGCTGTCACAAAGCCAATTTTTTAGAATAATGGCTACTCGATGATGTTTTTAGGAATGGCAATTTCTGTCAATACTCCCAAAATAGAATGTGATACAATTTAAACGAAATTTATAGGAAAATTTTGACAACTAAATGAGCATTTTTTTGTAAATTAACTTCACTTGCAGATATTTAGCCAATTCTTCGAAAATCCATCGAATTATCATACAAAATTACTTCTTCATAGTATTTTGCTTCTTTAAAAAATATGAATAATAGTCATTCTCTCAGTATAAAAAACTTTATCCAAAAATGTATAGATCAGCGCTTTGTTAAAGGTTGGTCTTGTACCTAGTATTTTCTTCGTTTACTCTTGTTCGCAATCAAAGGGTAATTGAAGAATAACCTATTATTGGATGTCAGTCCTGCTTGTTTAATTATAGTGCTGAGTGTCACTTGATCACTGAATACCGGAGACCAGTCTTAAGATTATTAGAAATGTCTTAGTAAATGTATATGTCAAGTAAACTAATATTTGAGGATTTTTTTTCCGTTTCCTTTGCAATGGCGTTGGTGGAATAAGCTTTAAGTTGGTTATGTCATTATGACGTTTATGATTCGCATGCTGTAAAATTTCAGTTTTCGCTCAAAGTTTTGCCATGAAATACATATTTTAGGATTTCATGTGAAGAAAACAAGTTTGCAGTGGACATGGACAATATTTATCGATGAACAAAACTAACAGGAATTTAACAAAATTTGATTATTTTGACCACTTTTTGTTTTGTGTGTATACTTCAGCAAGGCGACATAGTGCTTCCATGTGGGTACATGCGTCAGGATAGGATTAGGTTCTATGCATATTGAATTTTCTATATCGATCACACCAGTGAATTTAGACAAACATGTTTTGGTAATTTTTAAAAAATCTTGTTGGTATTATGTCTGTCATAATATTCCTGAACTCCTTTATAAATCAAAAGGCCACGCCGGCCAAGTAGAAATTTTCAAAATGCATAGAATCTCGACATGTTTCAGTTAGATAGAGAACCAGTTTTGTTTGTATGTAAAAGCTTTATTCACATTTCATAGCACGTTTTATGAAACTGCCATTAATGTAGAAGAAAAAAGACATTTCAAGTTTTATAATATTTTGTGAAAACGATGCTGTTACTTTTTGTATTCATTTGTGCAATAATAAATGAATGTGCCTCTTATTATCCTGTGTTCGTAGTCGAAAGGATTTATTCTGGTTTATTTTTGTAAAAGGTAATTTGCTGGGACCCAGTGGCGCCAGGAATCGAACCTGCAACCTTCTGTCTCAGAGGCAAGCGCGTTACCTACTCCTCTAACTGTTCCCACCCACCCTCCCCGGGTAGACTTTCTTCTTATAGTAACCAAAGGAAAATTCTGAAAAGTCTTTCTTGAATATTACCCAGTGATATCCGAGAGCAGGAAAGCGAACCCCAACCCATTTAGTACAAATGAGCATGAAAACGCTACAACGCATTGCATAATTTTGGTATTTCTTTATTAAGACCAAAACAAATCTCCACTGATGTTTGCATGCAAATTTATCCGTTTTAAAACGCTTTTCTGCATAACTACATTTCTGAAAAATCTATAAAGTTTTAAATTAAAATAAACCAAGTTACTGAAAGCTGCATTAGGACTCACTCAAAAATGTAACAAATTTAGCCTATCTGATTTAACAAATAAAACTTTCAACTAAACTATTTATGTCTGATCTCGTTAAAATTAAAGAAAATATTTCAGAAAAAACTTTTTCCTTTAAAAAACAACACCGGATCCGGTATTCATTTCACCTTTAACATCAGAAAAATCGAAAAGGAAACTCTGGACTAACACTATCAAATACATATAATGGTACAAATTTCACAATTTGACTACATTTACATGTTCCGGATCCGACGTTGTTTTTCTCTGTTTCAAACTATACGGTATAATAAGAATTTTTTCAATAACTAAATACCTACAAGCATGAGCAATTCTACAACTCTCGTGACAAATATTTTGCTATTAACAGAACATGAATTAACCTCACATAGCACATGTAGAGAGTAAATGTTTGCACCTGCTGATCGACGTAAAAAGTAAGAGACAATATTCAAAGTTGAGAGGATTTTAAAAAATAGTATCAATAATTCTTTTATCTTTACACAGAATCTAGATTTTTT